AATGCAATATGGGCAAAGATGAGGGAACACGTTCATTTTTGCTCAGTTGTTATGGTACTCTTAACAATGACTATGATAATAACGCTCATAAATGCTGTGTAACTGTGAATGGAAAAATGTCTAAAGCATTACTTGATTCAGGTAGTATGGTTACATTGGTAGCAGAGTCTATAATACCTTGTGTAAAACCTGATCATGTACAGAAAATAGGCATTATCTGTGTTCATGGTGATAAAAAGGAATACCCCACTGCGGAAGTAAATATTGGAACCCAGTATGGGGATTTAAAGTACCGAGTGGGTGTAGTACCTAGATTAGCCCATGAGGTAGTGATCGGTAGAGACTTTCCTCATTTTCTAAAATTATGGGCAGCTTTAGAAAAGACAGACCAAAATTTATCAGAGATGAGTCAGTCTGTCGAGGATAATGTGTTCCCTTTTTCCGATATTGACTTGGGTTTTGACCACTGTGACGGAAAAATAAGAAAAAAGAAAAAATACTGCCCTAAACCAGTATTAATAGGAGATAACCCAGCTCAAACTAGTGAGGAGCCTACTAATACTGCAGACAAGGATAAGGACTTAATTGATATTGGAATTAGTCCAGGTAACTTTAAAAGCGCTCAGTGGGAAGATCCCACTTTAGTGACAGCTAGAAATGATATTAAAGTTGTAAATGGGGTTGCTAATCAACCAGGAGAAGCACTGCCGTTCCCCTATTTTGAAGTACAAAATGACCTAATTTACCGTGTAGAAAAAAAGGATTCAGACATCATTAAGCAGCTGTTGGTTCCTCAGACTTACCAGAATATAGTGCTAAAGTTGGCTCACAGCCACATATTAGGGGGACACTTGGGAGTCGAAAAAACTAGAGAGAGGGTCCTTAGAAGGTTTTACTGGCCTGGAGTGTTTGCTGCTATTACAAACTATTGCTCCTCATGTCCTGAGTGCCAGTACAGGGCTCCTTTCAAGACTTTTCGTAGTCCACTTGTACCCTTACCCATAATTGATGTGCCTTTTGAAAGGATCGCTATGGACTTAGTGGGGCCACTGGTAAAGTCCGCTAGGGGACACCAATATATATTAGTCATCTTGGACTATGCAACTCGCTACCCTGAGGCCATTCCCTTGCGTAATACCTCTGCAAAGTTAATAGCTAAGGAACTTATGTTGATGTTCAGTAGGGTGGGTATCCCTAAAGAAATACTGACAGACCAGGGGACCCCGTTCATGTCCAGAGTCACAAAAGAGTTGTGCAGGCTCTTGCAGGTTAAACATCTTAAGACCTCAGTATATCACCCACAGACTGATGGTTTAGTAGAGAGGTTCAACAAAACCCTTAAGAGTATGCTACGTAAGGTAATTGATGCAGATGGAAGAAATTGGGATTTTTTATTGCCATATCTACTGTTTTCCATTAGGGAAGTTCCACAGGCCTCCACGGGCTTCTCTCCTTTTGAATTATTATATGGAAGACATCCCAGGGGAATATTGGATATTGCTAAGGAGACCTGGGAACAGGAGACTACTCCTCACAGGAGTGTAATTGAGCATATAGCTCAAATGCAGGATAGAATGGCCACCATCATGCCTATTGTCAGGGAACACATGCTGAAAGCCCAGCAGGCTCAGAAAAACAGCTATAACCGTAATGCTAGAGTCAGAGTGTTCCAACCTGGAGACAGGGTATTGGTTCTGGTCCCTACTGTGGAGAATAAGTTCCTTGCGACTTGGCATGGACCCTATGAAATAATAGAGAAAGTGAGTGATGTCAATTATAAAGTCAGACAACCAGGAAGAAGAAAGCCTGAACAGTTGTATCATATAAATCTGTTAAAGCCATGGAAGGACAGGGAGGTCCTGGTTGCTTTAAAACCTTCAGAACCTCCTATAGTAGAGCCAGAGGTGAACGTATCTGAGACTCTGTCTGTACATCAAAAGCAAGAGGTCAGAGATTTCATCAGAAGAAATAGGGATGTTTTCTCGGTAGTTCCAGGAAAGACTAAAGTGATTAAACATGACATAATAACCGAACCAGGGAAAAGAGTTAACCTCAAACCCTATAGAATTCCTGAGGCCCGGAGGGAGGTTATAAACTTAGAGGTTGAGAGCATGTTAAAACTTGGAGTCATTGAAGAATCCCAGAGTAACTGGAGTAGTCCTATTGTATTGGTGCCAAAACCTGATGGCACATGGAGGTTCTGCAATGACTACCGCAAGTTAAACGCCATCTCAAAATTTGATGCTTACCCAATGCCAAGAGTTGATGAGTTAATAGAAAGACTGGGCAAAGCTCGTTATCTAACAACCTTGGATTTAACAAAGGGTTACTGGCAGGTCCCGCTCACTGAAAGAGCCAAAGAAAAGACAGCCTTTTCAACACCCAGTGGCCTGTTTCAGTACACTGTATTGCCATTTGGGTTACATGGGGCACCTGCCACATTCCAACGAATGATGGACAGAATTCTTAAACCTCATGTTCGTTATGCTGCAGCATACTTGGATGATGTCGTCATCCACAGTGCAGACTGGGAATCCCACCTCCCTAAAGTTCAAGCGGTACTTGATGCTATCCGCTCAGCAGGCTTAACTGCCAATCCTTCCAAGTGTACGATTGGTTTAGAGGAAGCTAAGTACTTAGGTTATTCTATTGGGAGGGGTTTGGTTAAACCACAGGAAGCCAAAGTAGAAGCCATACAAAAATGGCCACAGCCCCTTACAAAGAAACAAGTAAAGGCATTTTTGGGTTTAATTGGATATTATAGGCGGTTCATTCCAGATTTTGCTACCATTGCTGCACCCCTAACAGACCTTATTAAAGCAAAATCCCCAGTCGTAGTTAAATGGTGCCCTGAGGCAGAAAAGGCTTTTAAGAGTCTGAAGGAAGCTATCTGTAGCCATCCTGTCTTGGTGACCCCAGATTTTTCCAGGGATTTTATAGTTCAGACAGATGCTTCTGATGTGGGCTTGGGGGCTGTTCTTTCACAGGAATACCAGGGTGAAGAACACCCTGTTTTCTTTTTGAGCAGAAAGTTAAACCCACATGAGAAGAACTACTCTATTGTTGAAAAAGAGTGTCTTGCTATTAAGTGGGCATTAGACTCTCTTAAATACTACCTACTAGGCAGAAAGTTCCGATTGATAACGGACCATGCTCCTCTGACGTGGATGTATCAGAACAGGGAAAGTAACTCCAGAGTAACCAGATGGTTTTTGAGTTTGCAATCTTTTAATTTCACTGTGGAACACAGGGCTGGTCTGCAACAAGGTAATGCTGATGGGCTTTCGAGGGTACACTCCCTGATTTCCATGGTCGCTCAAACCCATGGGTATGAGCTGGGGGGGAGGATATGTGAGCGTAAAGGTGGAATAGTGGTTGATGGGAGATACATCAGACCTGATTTGCTAAACAGCAACCAGAGGATTTTTCAGTTAAATGCCCCAGGGAGAGATGTTAAAGTTTGCAATATGCATAGCTGATGCTCTGCAAAACATGGTATGGGTCCCTGGGGCGGAGTATTTGGAGAGCAGGGTGGGCCAATGCTCCAACAGCACTAGTTGCTGTATAACAGACCACAGCTTGGATCTGATTTTAAGAGTTAACTAATTGGCACTCACCTGTAGCTACTCAATTAGTAGACAGGCCTTTAAAAGAAGAGAGCAGCCTGCTGCAGAGTGAGGGAGAAAAAGACAGCTAGGAGAGATTGTGTTTATTGCAAAGACATTGCTTTTGTTTGGAAAATTGGTAAGTGGGAAAGCCACCCAATTGCAGATAGCAATTACTGTCTAGTAAGAGCAAGGGATTTTGTTTGTTTTTGTTATTATTTAAAGTACCTGCTTTCTTACTGAATAAAAAGGAAAACTGAGCTGAAGGTGTCCTGGACTTTGTATACCCTAGAAGGCTGTGGTTACTGCAAGATCGGTGACAATCCTACCTGTAAAAGAGGTGGTTTGTTACAACCTATATAATAACAATAAATATAAAAATATATAAAAAAAAGTATGAAAAAGTATTAACATTCTTCCACTATAAAAATGATTACTATTATAAAAATTATTTTAAAATATTTAAAAAATATATTAAAAAATATTTAAAAAAACAAAACTTTTTATTAGAGAAAAAAATATATTATATCAGAGCTGCCATCTCAAAATCCACGTTGAGTCCGCCCAGAGTCAGGGTTTCTAAATCAAAAATCCACCTCATCTCACAGCGACTCAAAGTGGACTCGATCTGGCCTCCTCTCCAATGAGGTTTAATAGTCTGAATTCCATAAAAAGTAAGCCCAGTAGGATCCCCACCATGGGCATTAAAAAAGTGTAGGGAGACATTATGTTTCAAAAAAACTCTCCTTATGTTGTAGATATGTTCACGTATCCTTGTTTTTAGGTTTCTTGATGTTTTCCCCACATATTGGAGTCCACAAGGACACGTGAGCAGATACACCACATTTTTAGTGTGACAGGTAATAAACGAATTAATCTTAAAATTAACAGAGCCAATCCTAGATTTAAAAGCATCAATTCGTTTTGGTTTCTTTTTGAAATTCCAGCAACCCGTACATTCCCCACAATAATGGAATCTTTTTGGAGGGCTTTATTACTGGTTAGAACATTTTCTTTAGGTTTAGATGGTTCTAAATAACTAGAGGTTAATTTCTGTTTTAAATCACTAGCTCCTCTAAAAATTAACCTAGGTCTAGCGTTAAGATATGGTAAAATATCTTCATCCTGTTGTAGGATGTGCCGATGTTTATTAAAAATTATTTTGAGTTTCCCATGTTCTTGATTATAATTAAAAATAATAGGTATTTTGTCATTTTTCTCCTCCAATGGAATTTTTGGTTTATATTTTAATAGGGCATCCCTTTCCATATCTCTAACTTGTTTAATCTCCTGGTCTAAAAAATTGCCACAATATCCTCTATTTACAAATTGCCCTTTCAAAAATTGAGTTTGAGAATCAAAAACGTCTACTACTGTACAGTTTCGTCTCATGCGTAGAAACTGGCCTTTTGGTATATTGTCTAGCCATGGTTGGAAATGGCAACTCTCTTTGTGGATGTATCCATTAACATCCACTGGTTTGAAGAAAGTGCATGTATTAATAGCGTTTCCTTTGGTGGAAATTTCTAGATCCAAAAAGTGGATTTTTTGTTGGCTATATTCTTGAGTCAACTTAACATTCCACTCATTGGAATTTAGAAAATTAAAAAATTCTAAAAAAGTAGAATGGTCTCCCCTCCAGATCATAAAAATGTCATCTATGTAACGTTTATATAGGTCCAGATTCGCACTCCAGGCATGCTGGGAGTAAACAAAATGATTCTCCCAATAAGCCCTAAATAAATTTGCATAACTGGGTGCGAATCTGGTCCCCATAGCCGTCCCCCGACGTTGTAAATAGTAGTCTCCTTCGAACCAAAAAAAATTATTTCGAAGAATTAGGGAAATTCCGTCCATTACAAAGTCAATTTGTTCCTTAGGATACAGGCCAGATACTTCCAAAAAATGAATGATTGGCTCTGCATCCTATGTCGTGGTCAATACAAGTGTATAGACTAGTAACGTCACACGTAATAAAAGAGAAATCACTTTCCCATCTAAAATCTTTCAATATTTGTAATAAACTCATAGAGTCCTTTAAATATGAAAGGCTTTCTTTTACTAGCAGTTGAAGAAGAGTATCTATGTAATTAGATAAATTGGAGAGGAGTGATCCCACTCCGGAGACTATAGGTCTCCCCGGGGGATTACTAATATCCTTGTGCAATTTTGGTAGTACGTAGATCACTGGAATTTTTGGAGACCTAATATTTAGATAATCATACTCCTTTTTATTTAGGATTCCCTTTAGAAGGCCTTTATCTAAATAATCTACAAAAATCTTTTGGATGTCTTGTTGTGGATTTTTATTTAGTCTTACATATGTGTCCTTATCATCTAATTGTCGATTGATTTCTAAAATATATTTCTCCCTATCCATAACTACTACCCCTCCCCCCTTATCTGCAGGTTTTATCACTATCACTGGATCTTTTTTTAAATTCTGTATTGCCAATAATTCTGATTTGGTAAGATTATTCTTTTTGTTAATCTTTATCTTCTTTATGTCTTTGATATATGCCTTTTCAAAAGACTTTCATAGAGTTAGATTTTGGGTGGATAGGATAAAAGGAGGAAGGGGCTTTTAGTTCTGAGTGTACAAATTCCTCTGTGTCTCTTGTTTAAATTTCCTATGTTTGTTTTTTTATCAAAAACATTTTTTATACACAACTTTCTCATGAACCGATTAATATCTGTATAAGCATTGAATTGGTCAATATTACAACTCAGAACAAATTTAAAACCTTTCCCTAAAATTTTTATTTGATCATTATTTAAAACTTTTTTAGAGAAGTTAAAAATCTTTATCTCCTCATTATTTTCCATCTTGGGTCTCTCCAGTCTCTTTCCTCCCCTATTTCCCCTTCTTCTAAATCCCTGTATCTCCTTTTCACAGGGACCGGAGTTTTCTCTATGGGTTCATCCCAACGTTTTCCTAAAAAAGGGATACTCCTCTTTTTTTCTATTTGGTTCAGGGGTTCAAACCGGTTTGATGTGGAAATATCTCTCCTATCTCTTGGGGAAAATCTTTGACTATGTTCGGGATGTTTATTCTCACGATTATATTGATTTCCTTTTTTATAATCATGATTTTTGGAGACTGTTTGGGTGTTATGGCTATGAGAATCGTAGTAATAGTTTGTTCCTTCCCTTCGTTTGTGTCTTTTAACTTCTGTCCACTCTGACGCAGAATTATGTGTCCTTGGTGGTCTGTTTGGAATTTGATTGGGAACATAATTATTCGTAAAATGTTTCTTTTCATTTCACTGGTTTCTATCTCTAGGTATAAATTTCCCTTGATTGAAATTATCTCTCGGTTTCTTTCTAACATTATTGGTAGTGTGATCCTTGTCAGCAGGTAGCACGGTCCTCTAGGGCAAAAACATGCACAGTCCTTGTAATTGCATATACTCCAGGCACTTTATTTGTAAGTTCACACAGGATACAGCAGTAAATGAAAACATAAATGTAACAGAAAACCCTATAAACAAAAACCTAGCTCGTCTGAGCACTAACTGACATTAGGTTCCCTATCTCTCAGGGTTAAACTAAACAAAACAATATTGCACCAACCTTATTAGATAGCAACACTCTGCTAGCTAGCCTGTTGTTTTCCTTTCTGCACTCCCAGTGCTCCAAGCCAGCCTTGTCCTGACTGCTTTCCTTTCTGCACTCCCAGTGCTCCAAGCCAGCCTTGCCCTGACTGCTTTCCTTTCTGCACTCCTAGTGCTCCAAGCCAGCCTTGACTGCTTCCTCCAGTGCTCCAAGCCAGCCTTGACTGCTTCCTTTCTGCACTCCCAGTTCCTGGTCTCCTTGACTCTCTATATGGAGAGAACAGCCTCTCTCCTACCTGCTTCCTGGGAGGAAGCCAGCAATCCCTCTCCTTTTCCTGCCTAGCCGGGAGGGGTTTATTCCCACTGCAACAGCTCATTAACTGCAGCTGAGCAGTGGGTTGGAGACGGTCCAAAAAACCCTGGCTTGGATCTATGTCTCCCCAGAAAACCACTAAACTGTGGAGTGGAGCATTGGCCCACCCTTCTCTCCAAATGCTCCACCCCAGGGGCACATAACTAAACAAAGCTTTGGGTTGTGCAACACACAAACTACACGTACTTCCCCTGCGGTTAAAAGGCCTATCTGCCTTCACTTTATCACAGTAGCATAATCATTAATATCCCGTTGATATTTTCTCTTTTTATTAGTAATAATAATGGACTCCAATTGATCTAATCTTCCAATAATTGGATCAGAAATCGATTCAAAATCCCTAGTTCCAATATAGGGTTCTAATTTGACACAAATTTCTTTAATAATCTTATCTAAGACTTCTAAATTCCTTTTCCTTTGTTCGACTATAATCTGCATCATGGTTATCGAGAAAGACTCCAAAGCCTTTTCCCATATATCCATGAATCTTTTATCATCTCGGTCGAACGTGGGATATTTAGTGAAACGGAGTCCTCTAGGGGTTATTTGGTCACTTAAATACTTTTCCATCGTGACTACTTACCACTTAAATTTTAGTTCTTTAGTTAACAATTTTTCCAGTAGTATACGCATTTCTTTCAGATTATCAGTAATTTTATATTTTTCTGGAGTTTCAACCTCTATTTCTTGAAAAATGTAAATCTTTGCATTTTTGCTCTTTTTTCAAAGATGTCCATTATAATCTAGCAGCCCACACCCTGGTGATTTCTTCAATAACAATAAATAAACTAAATATATTTCCTGTTAGGGAAATATATACGGGTGGATTGGCGCTATTAGTGAAAATTACAATGAGAACAGCAACTACCCCCAAGTGCCAAGTAAATCACCAAAGGCACTACACAAGTACAACAAGTGAAAAAGAAAGAAAAGGAGGGGGGTGCTAGAAAAGTAATATCACAATATTATACTTATATCTGTACATCAATTATTTACTGGATCAATCTAAAAAAGGTAAACAAAATGTACATAGCATAATACTGTATAGAGAGACTGTATATCAACAGTATTTGGTATTGGGTCACTCACGATCTGTAGAGCCTTAAATAGCAGGCTCTAACTGTATTTGCTCCTCAAATAATGTCAGGCAAACTGCTTCATCCAGCGAGGGCAGCTTCTAATTCCTCCAAATACTCTTCCAATCACACCACAACTCGGGTAGCCAAGTGGGTAAATATATGAAGAGATTTATTACAATTAAAACAAAAAATAAAAAACATACAGGGCACAACGCGTTTCGACTTTCGTCTTCTTCCAAGGTGCATATGGTACAACCGATCACAGTCTCATTAAATAGGTCTGGTAAACTCTGAAATTCCCGGGTAAAATTTGATCGACTTCCGTGTTGTGACGTCACTTCCGGGTTCCGTCGGCGTCACTTGCGTCAACAACGTCATCACGGATTGGTTCATGGTTTACTCTTCAACCTGGATATTGTTGTGTTTAGACGCCATCTTTAAAGGTGGCATCTTATCTTTATAAGTCCGCTTATATATAGAAAAAATTAACCGATACCAGGTCACTTCAGTCCACACTTTCACAATAAACAAAATACAATCGACAGTAAGATGTATTATTATCCAATTTTAAAAATCTCTAAATTATTTGATTTACAGCATAACGAGAAAACATTCTTTAGGGAAAAAAATACATCCATTAAAAATAAAAATTCATATTAAGGATACTTCAGAAATCCATATGAAGAATATATAAAAAATATATAAAAAATATATGAGCAATATGCAGTCTATATAAAAGTATAAAGAATATATACTTAATATAGAAATAATAATAAAAAGCCAAAAATTTATATAAAAATACATATGGGAAAACTCTTAAAAAATAATAATAATTAATATATATTTAAACCTATATAATAAATATAAAAATATATTTAAAAAAGTATGAAAAAGTATTAACATTCTTCCACTATAAAAATTATTACTATTATAAAAATTATTTTAAAATATTTAAAAAAAATATAAAAAAAATATAAAAATAAAAATAAAAAAAACAAAACTTTATTAGAGACTAAGTGGCTACTAAAAAAGACTAAACATACCCCACTTTCAATACCTTGGGTAGTCTACTTTTTCAAATGGTATGCCATTATGGGGGTAATTCTCATTCTTGGGCTACCACACCATCTCAATGGTAACATTACTAATCTGGCAAATTTCAATTTGAAAATGGAACGTTCTATATTTGACCCTGTAACGTTCCAAAACACCATAAAACCTGTTAATGGGGGGTACTGTTGTACTCGTGAGACATCACTGATTACAAATATGTGCATTTTTTTGCAGTAAAACCTAACAGTATTATGACATTAACAGCTAAAATGTCAGACAGAAATACAAGTTTAAAAAAAAAATAATCTTATTTTCTCACTTTTTTAAAATTTTATTCATAATAAATTATGTTCCATATATGAATAGTTAATGATAAATTAAAGCCCTGTTTCTCTTGAACAAAATGATATATAATAAGTGTGGGTTGCAATAATATGAAAGAGGTGAATTACGGTTGAACAGACATATAGCGCAAATTCCAGTTTTTGTTTACGTTTTGTTTTGATCAGAACGTGCACTATTGACGCCGTCCTAAAGGGGTTAAAGAACACCAAAAATGTCTGACGGAATGGAAAAACTTATTTCTATCATGAATGGCTAGGATTAATATCATTAAATCATATATATTTCCCAAATGGCTATACTTATTACGCATGATTTCTCTCAAAATAGCGAGATTATTAAAAGAATGATGGAACAATTTATATGGGTTGAGAAAAAAATAAGAATATTTAGAATCATTTTATATAGTAGTATTAACCAGGGTGGATTGATTATTCCAAAAGTAATAAATTATGCAAATGTAGCAATGATTACTCAAGCTCACAAATTTCAGATAGGTTTATGTAAACAGGAAGATTGGTACTCTATAGAATCCGAGTTATTAGGTATTGAAAACTTGGAGAATGTATTATGGCTTCACCATGGTGAAATTAAGAAAATTAAAGTTACATCAAATGTCAAACAACATAATCAAATCTTGGACAATGTTTAAAAAAAAATCTTAATAAAAGACCAAGTTCTCAAAACAAATTCTGCAATATGTTGGAGGTGTGGTGAACAAATTGGAAATTATTTATACATTTGGTGGCAGGGCCAGATTAAGAGCCCGTTGGGCTTGGTGCTGACAATTATGATGGGCCTAATTATAGAATCGTATCGACAGAAAACACTAAAACAGTTATACCTCCCAAGCGTCATGTATCTGGTGGAGGTGGTGCTGGAAGCAAACACAGGATATCGCTTTAAAAAGACACATTGTTACGGCACCCCCAGGCATAAAAGGGTTAAACCACCGTTTAGTAGATCTTCCCTTCCAGAGACACAGGCATAGCTACTGCAGAACACCAAACTCCCGAACTGGATACAAGGGAATTCTCCAAACTCCCGAATTGGATACAAGGTAGCACTCCAAACTCTCGAACTGGAACCCTCATGAATAGCTGCTATCAAACAAACAGGAAAAGCACCCAAGCGCCTTACACTCCTGGCAATCAGTCTCTAACAGCATAAAGTAAATCCCCCCAAAGACGAGACAGAGCTCCGTGTTGGGGGTCAAGCAGTGGTCTGGTTTATTGAGGGCTACCTGCCCAGTATTTATGCAGGTCTCCCACCTGGTGGACACTCCCTAGGGGACCAGATGGAAGACTGTAACACAGACAGACATGTATCACATTCAGACACACAGAAGTAAAACATCCCCACAATGCATCCTAATTTCCCTCCCTCTATCCTGGAGATCTCCCAGGACAGAGGCAAAACGCAATTATACACGTGGGGACACAAAGACAGTAAAATACATTAAAACATACAGTGTAACATTTAATACATAAAATCCATCCAGATAGCTGGGATCTGAGCGCACATAACTACAGAATCGCGCTCAGATCCTATACACACAGTTCAATTGCCATGGAGCCAAAGTCTTTAATTACATGAATAGGCTCCATGGCATAGCTATCTGGGTTAAAACATTCACTGAAGTAAAGTCCCGATCAAGTCAGCGTTCGGCTAAACAGCCACGAATAGAAGCAGAGAAGGCTGGAGGCTCAGCGGTGCCTGCACATAAAAGTGTCCGCTTTTAGTGCACTGATTCCGGGCTGAACACCGCTGGCCGTCCGGGGAGCTCCATAACACCACCACCTAGCGGCCGCTAAGTGTAGCCGCAGCCACCCAGTAACAGTCAATTAAGCTGCTACTGGGTGGTCAATTAACGCCACACGCTAGCTTCAGGGAGGTGAATTGAAGGCACACACCAGCTTCCCGGTGGTCGCGCTTTCGGTATTTTGTTATGAATAAGCCTTTCTGCAGGGAAAATAAAGTATTTTAAAAGTCCGGTCCATAGTCTAAAGGGAGCAGGCGGGCAACCAGGCTCCTCCAATGCAATGTGGCGAGATTGCTCTCGTCACACACATACCCTATGCTAATGTCTCGCATTCATCTTTCAAGTAAATCCATACCTCCTAACAGCAGTATCTAGTGAAGCAGGATTTTGGTGGGCGGGGTAAAAGGGTGTTCCACTGACGCGAATCACGTAACCAAAACTGCCCAGAGGGGCAAACATGCCCAAAAGAATGTGCCCGAGGATTTAGAAGGTCAGCCTGGCATGAATACATGTTAGGACAGGCTGCCTGCCAATCATGCAGGCTGGCCAACTAAGGGCATACTATGCAGACAGCACCCTGAGCTTGGCATAAATGTGTCTAATGATGTGTTCGCTCCACGCTTTCTAAGGACTGTCTCCTAGCACCCACTTGTCCACTCCTCTCCTTACCCTTACTAGCAGGCAGAAGCTCCTTTTACACAGTCTGGGACAGAGAAAATGTGTATGTTTTAGACTGAAGTAGCAAGAGCTTTTGCATAGTATGCAAAGTTGGCTTTACCTTAACTAATTTTATTGTCAGCCAGTCCACACAAGTTTTGTTTCCCTACATATGAAGAGTAGTAAATATATATATATATATATATATATATATATATATTTATTTTTTATTAATTAATTTTATTTTTATTATTATTATTTTGTTATTTATTTTTTTCTTTATCAATGGGCCTATTTCGTTGGCATGGGCCTGTAGCTGCAGCTCCATCAGCCCCTATGTTAATCCGGCCCTGTTTGGTGACACTGTACAGATGGATACCTGGAATAAGATTTTTAATTATATTTCTGATAAATTTAAAATAATCTTAATCCCATCTCATATGAAAGCACTTTTGCATTTAGAATTAAATTCAACAACTATGAAAAATAGATATCTAATTATTTAAATAGTCTTAGCTATGAAAATACTTATTGCAAGGAAATGGAAACACACAGAAACAATCTCCTGGCCTGAAGTGGTAAATCAAGTGAACTACCAATATATGATGGAAAAAGGGTTTTACATGAATTATCATACCTTGGATAAATTTTATTCTTTATGGAACATATGGCTAATATCCTTTCCCTGACATTGAGAAAATATACAAAATATGGAAAATATACTATTTGTTCCTCTCTAAATCCCCAGACTTAGGTTAAACTAGATCACACCGCATGAAACTATATACTAATCTAATGTTTTGTAAGTAATATCAAATATATATGTGTAAATGTTTGTTACAACGTAGTCTCCTTTTTGTCTTGTTTTACGTAATACTTGATGAAAACTGTAATCTCATCAACAAAACAAATTAAAAAAAATTAAAACATATAATAAGGAATGCAGAAAAAGGAAAAAAAAAACTGTCAAATAATATAAATTGATAAAAATTAATGTTTAAATCCCTATGAGGGAACATTGTTAGTAAAAAAAAATCTTAAAAACATATAATAAGGGATGGGACATTGTGAAAAACCTTCTCTGTATTTCTACATTTTATGCAATATCTTTGCAATATTGCACATGATTTAGTAACCTCGTTCGTCCAAGCACTAATTGAATTGCAAGATTCTGGAAAATATCTAAACATGCAATTTACTGTGCACTCAGAAAGTATTCAGACCCCTTAATTTTTCTCATATTTCTATGTTATGATAATAAGTTTTACATTTGAGTATTGCACAATTATGAGCAAATTATTATTTTATATTTATCCAAAAACTTGAAAATGCATTATATTAATTTAGAACAATAAAAATTGGCATACATTAGTGTTATAGTCTTATGTTACAATCGTTTAAATGATTACCTTTTCTATACCAATCTACAGTCCATGTCCAATAATGGCAAAGCAAACATTATTACACAACTGGAAATATATCAAATAGAAAAACATGAAAAATAACATTCACATAAGCAGTCAGACCCTTAACTCAGTACCTTTTTGAAGCATATTTGGCAGCGATTACAACCTCCAATCTTTTGAGCTGTGCTGCAACAAACTTTGCACAA